GTTTACTCGTCGAGCGGCGAGGTCTTGTGAGCGGGATTTTCCAGAAATTTCGACTTTTTTCTCGTATTTCTCGTATTTTTTTCTTGATTTTGTGGAGGTTTTGCCAAAATGCCGTACGCTAATCAGCCTTCTTTGAATTTGACGGAGTTGACGCAGGAGAATATTAAGTTTTATATTGAAGATACAGACCTTAGGTGAGTTGGTTCTTGTGACGCAACTTTTTTTTACTTTTATTATTTTTGAGTCAATGGAAATACATGATTTTTTATTTTTATTTTGTAAGGGGCTGTCGGTGTATGTTTTAGAATCCTTGAGATGGAGCAAGACACAGCTTTTGGAGGCATACATGTCAGGATATATTTTAATTTAGTATGTTTTTCTATCCACTTAGGTATAGGTTGAATGTGCTATCAGAGACGCAAGTACAGGAGTTTTATCTGTGGAATCCAACTACAGCAATCAAATCTGAAACCTTATATTCTGGCAAAATAGAGCTTGTAGATTTGCCTGATTTAATGTCAGTTAAGGACCAGCTATAATTTTTCCACAGTGGAGATTTGTTGGCTTTTACCAGAGTGCTGTAGGTGTGGAGGAAGCAGCGATTGCTTGAATTTATGCTATGATGGCCATTGACTGACAACTCTTGTTAACCCATTGCTGCCGGGGATGACACGTACGTACATGCCATGCCCACTGTGAGTCGACTTGTTCGATTGCTTTTACACATAGATGGCTACACTTGTGCTAAGTATCCAATGAGCCAATTACGAGTACTGCCTGTCTCACCCATTCACCCTTTTCATCGATTTATGAAAATATTTAACGTTATCCTAATTTGCTGTTTAAGATAACACCATTTATATTTATAGCAATAGTAAGAATATGCTTTTTCTCGCCAATTCAAGGAAAGGTGAAATCAGGACTAGCAGAGCCATCTATGGACAGAGATATTTCACAAAAATATAAAAAATGAGTACTGCATTTCCCCCATTTTTTGTTCATTTTCCCCAGCGGCAATGGGGTAAATTTCACTTATAGTTTCAGTTTCACACAACTTTATGGTACAAGGTAAACATTGCTTGTAATGGAGAGAAAGTTTTAAAATATGACACTTTTCATTCATATTATCTCTTTTGCAACTTCGTAATAAGAGAGTTTGTGAAACATGTATTACTTTGGTATACACTTACATGAAAATGGAATGACATTATTTTAAAAAAAGGAAAAAACTACACTTACTTATATATGAAATAATCTGTGCAGTCAAAGAACAACTTGATAAATAAAAGAAATAGGATACGACCAATGCTGGTGACTGGGTAGGGGTCCAGAGACAGAGCCACCAATGGGGAAATATGGCAGTTAGGTGAGGGTTTTGGGGAAAAGCCCCTGCGTTAAGAAGGATTTTGGTTCATACGGTGATGTTGGTGGATTCTCAAAAGTGGCTGGGTGATATCACTTTAAAAACAATTATCAATATTTTCTATAGTATCATTTGAAATTAAAAATAACAAGATGTTCATGTATATTACAGTGTGAATAATTGTAACAAGGAATAATCATTACAGGGTTGGATAGTTGTGTGAAACAATAAAATTAGCAGTTTTAGCATAAGTCTGGGATAAAGAATGGAGTCACCTTAATTATTTTTGTGATAGTTGTATAATATTTTGTTATAAGCATTATCATTTAGATTACAAGCAGTCTCCCTATATATTTCATACTCTTGCTAGGAGTTCCAGCATCATCTCTAGACATTAATGGTAGCCCAGTGATAGTAAAGTCATTAGTAACTGTGACTCAGATTTTACATAGAGTAATTAGTACCAGCAATAAGAAACGATAAGCCCCAGTATTTATAAGGGAATTATATCCAAGGCCAATGAGAACTGGTGGAGCATTAACCAGTTGTGCAGGCATTAAAATAAATGTTAGTTAGATAAAGGAACTGATATGACAGTTAATGCTAGGCTTACATAAAAGAGTTTGCAAATGCCAGTGATATTGTCGGAGAGAGAAATTTAAAAATTATAGAATACCATGAACATTCTACATTTATACCCATTATGGCATAGATTTTTGTTCAACTTTAGCATATGTATAATTATATATCCCATATTGTTACATTCAGTTTTTGTTTTTTGCATTCTAAATCAGAAAGAATAAGACATGATCCTAACTATGATTTTTAGATGTTGGATGTACTCTTGAGTTATGTTAGCTTTGATTTGATTAGATAAGAAATCCCTGAAATAAATTATGGGATATGAGGTTCAAAAGATATGATTCATTGATATCCAGTGGAAGGTAGAATTAAACATCAGTTGTTATTATGGAATAAATTTTATGAATGCTAGTTTACGGTGTTCCCAAATTTTTGTATCCATTGGTGTATTTTCATTGGGTTTCAATATATCCCATTGTCTCTCAGATTAGTTAATTTCAATTAGATTGCAGGAGGAAGCATGTCATCGTTTTGATCTTTAATTCAGTTAGAAGT